ATAACCACCATATCCGTGACCATAGCCACCATATCCATGGCCATAACCACCATAACCATAGGGTGAATAGCCATAGCCGTGGTAGCCTACGGGATAAGCGTATGACTCAGATTCCTTGAGTTCCTCCTTCTTCTCAGCGAAAACAGCGCCGATAAAGAGAATGGCCACGAGAATCAGCTGTAAAATTAGGTCAGTGTAAGTACTAAATTATGAAATTTTGTGATATACAGAGTATCTCAAAGCTCCGTGCTCCTAGGCAAAATTCACTGTTAACCTGTATTTTGACAACTATTCAATTTGCATGCGACTAACTTGTTTACACATATCATAAGCACTTACAGGCACACTTTCTCGTGATCTGTATAGTCACCCATTACATACATTTTCATTTATGTGAAAAAACAAATATTGAGATATCGATTATAAATAATAGAATGACCATCAGTACGGACTTCTGAGACACTCTAGATATATGTATAATTAATATAACACATCTGATTTAAAAGTTTGAAAACAAACTACTATAAAGCAACGATTCAACTTTAAGTAGTTACATAAAATAGCTTGTTTCACAAATGTAAATAAAATACTTACAGTCTTCATCTTGTGATTTCCTGGTTGTTATTTTCAACTGTGGTTGAAATTGTGATACTTCACCTGAGTTTACTCATATTTATACCCAGTTTTCTATATAAAAAATAATATATTCTGTGAGAAGCTTTTTTAGATTTCTCTTTCATATGATTGGTTCAACAGAAAACAATAATTAAACTCAGTATTGCCCCAGAACTGGCCACCAACTTATATCGTAGCTATTTGTGGGTTATAAACTAACCTGATACAGGTATGAGCGACATGGAGGAGAAAATAAAGGCAAGTTTTTCGTGTTGTTGACCTAAAGCAGAAAAGACACTTGGGGACCTATATTGTTACGTTTCAAGTACATGTTCTTTATCAATATCCTTTTTGTCCAAAACAAGTCATATTGCACTAAGACATTACTAAACAAAGCACCGCCATCCGTAAAACCTAGGTAAAAACAAAAGCTATAACCCCCACTCTTCTGGTCGACTTAACATTCCGTTTGGGTGTGGTGAGTTTTGGACATCAGTGTTTACGATGAAAACTGATCAAGAAAAATTATATCTCACCCCATTGTGCTATTCACATCCCCTTACATAACTTTGGCTGCCATAAGACTGTAATTCATCAGTAAAAGACCTAGAAGTTCTCTGGTTAAAACGTTAAGAAAGTATTTGCCAAATTAAATGACATGCGACAAAGTCAATAACAGCATAAGAGTTGACTTTTCATAAAATAATCATCTACAAACCAGATATATATATGTAAACATGTCATTTAGTACTAAAATTTAGAATTTCACCTACATTCCGATAAATAATATATTTAATAACGAGGTATACACTCTACCAAACACATACAATCTAGTTTAATAGTCCTAATATCGTTTCTCTTTGTAAATATATAACTTAAATAGAAATGAAAACACTGGTTGTTGCTTAGTTAATCTAGAAATGCAACACTTTGAATGGTGCTTAGTAATTAATGATAGAGAATTTCACGTAGTAACCATACGTACAGAAAGCAGTAACCATATATATATTGAATATTACTTAATAACCTAGATTATAGTTTGTAGAATGAACTCTTTCAGAACATTATACTTAAAGCATCTGACGTATTTAGACTTATAACAAAGCAAAAAGTATACAAGTTGAAATTATTTCATAAATATATAAGTCAGAATATCAAACCAAGAATCATTTATACTACTATCAATCTCAGTAATATTAATTTTTACAATAATTCATTTAAAGATGAAATATTCACCAGTAATGTTAAGAAAAAACGAAACTGAAAACATCATCTTATATGAGATTCACTCAATAGTGATAATCATAAATAATCTTTATTTTTAGTATTACACTAAAAGAATTGTTAGGAATTCTTTGTCAAATCAATCAATATACATATAAAGATAAATGTATAGTTAGTAACGCCACGGTTCGTATTTGCGGCGATTCGCTACTGTATTAGCATTTGCATTTGGTTAGTATTAAGTGCTGGTGACCCTCTGTACATTTCCTTGTAGGGAGATTTGAGAGTCTCAGATACTTATAATTTATCAGGTACACATTAAGTGCATTTTACCTGATCTTAGATTATTAGGTTTTCATTACACAGATTTTAATTTTAAAAACCATGTATTTAAATTGGCGTCTTTACGATGACCAGTTTAATTTAATTTAGAAATTCAAATTTCGTTATTATTAGTTTAATAAATCAATCACTTTAATCAAAAGAGAACTTTCATGTGCAAAATATCCCTGATTTGCAAATGAGTAGAATATATTTTAAACTTTATTCAGTGTTCTATACAGAACATAACCCTAGACAAAGAGTTCAATTGGTAGGTTACAACTGAAACGCTCCCCAGTGGCACAGCAGCATGTCTGCGGATTTACCACTCAATAAACAGGGTTTCGATACTTTTGGTATTCTATTGTGTAGCTTTTTGCTTAACTTTAAACAAACACAAATGAAACTGCTGAAAAACGTCTTTTTGTTGTTATTTGTATCTATACCGGTAGAGACGAATATTGTAGCCATTGTTCAGAATAGAATAGATGTAACATGCTTTCTCTTTGTTTGTAATTCAGGTTAACTAATGATCTCTATCTATACACTATATTTACTCTACTTTTCCAGTCATACCTCACAATACACGAAGGTATAAAAACTGGTTTGTTTGACATGCTGCTTGCATATTTTCAGAATCATTTTGTATTTGTAACTAATGCATACCTTTGTGCTAACAAATGGATATACTATCTACGCAGCCTATCTTTTTGATACATTAATATTTATTAAGAATAAAATACATTAAAACCTTTTTAAAAAACATTCCTCTGCCGTGTATTAGAAATATATTGACGTTAGAAGTATATTTGCTTATTATTTGTTTTGTTTTAGCGCGAAGCTACTCAATGGACTATCTTCTCTCTGTCCATCGAGGGAAAAGTATTTTGAATCAATATTTGTATATAAATAATATATGCTGAAACAATTGTAAATCTCACAATGGGCATGAATCTCAAACCAGCAAATCGTAAGACGACCCCAAGAGTTGGTGGTGGGTGCTGTCAACTAGCTGCCTTCTCACTAGTCTGTCAATTGAAAATTAGGTACGATTAGCGCAGATATCTCTTGAGTATTTTTTTTTTGCACGAATATCCGAAAAGAAATAAGCAAGTAAAGCTCTTACCTGAAATTATAGATCTTTTTATATAATTATCTTCTTGCATGAAACGTTAACTATATTCTTGTCTGACCAAATAGTAGGATTTCACTGTCACTCTTATAAAACACCCACTGTCCCAGAATGAGGAGACTTTTTTTTTTGGCTAAAGTCGCTGTAATGTGAATGGATTTTTATATGCTAATGCAGTGGCGTGTTGCTGCAGATGTGAGTCGTGGCACTACTAGTTGCATGTTTAGCACATATAGATTTAGTTCACAACAGACTCATGATCATTTGACAATGCACTTTCGTAGGTAGATTTAGTGGTGGAGGACTATCCAAAGTCTTTCCAAAAAAAAACTACAGCGAGATTATTTAATAATGAAAACCCAAAGAGCACAGCAATTCGAAGAAGACAGTTTTTAGTGTTCTCCAATGTAGTGCAAAAGAGAGCACAACAAAGCATTTAGGACAACAATAGCCTCTGAAGTCTCGCTTAACCCCAGTCCGTAGCAATGGCTTAGTCTGCAAAGTGATGTATGTGATTACGAAAGGGATTCCTTTAGCCTAAAAATCATTGCATTGAAGCAAGGCATATCTTCTGGGACAGACAACATGATAACTAAGAAGATTTTAAAGTAAACGAAGGCTCTAACCCAAAAGTTCACTTGCTTCAGCCAAACTTGAAATAAACGACTGTTGTTAAGATGAGAAAAATGACCAATGAAACTGGAATCACAAAAATCTTACTCGACCACGCACCTACCAAGTCCTCTGATCGACTGGACTTTTTTTTACTTTGACTTCTGGTCTTCTAAGACATAGATTTGTAAGCCTACGTCCACGTATAGTAGTATCTCCGTGATTTTTTTCTTTAAGTTGCCTGTTCTAAGTCTCACCTCAGTGTCCTTCACAAAGCTACACAATGACTATCTGCGCTAGCCGTTCCTGATTTTGAGCTGACAATAGAGGGAAGGTAGCTAGACAACAGCATCTACCGTCAATTCATAGGCTACTCTTGTCTGACTGAATAATAGGACTGTCACTATAGCGCACAAAAGTGCAGCGTATGATTTTGCTACCAACGGGCCACGAACTTTGGATCATCGGATTAACAGACCATCACGCTAACCAGCGAGCCACACCCGGCCTTGTTAGAAAATGCATTATTGGACAATAGGGCTTAATCATGAACATTAGGTTGAGCATAATCGAAAATGAAGGGGTAATTCCAGGACAGCAAAATCTGAAACATCGTTTTTATAAAATGCAATAAAATTCAGTATAGTCTCAAAAATATACTTTTAATCTTCGTACAGTACCTATGAGTTGCATTTGTATTAACATCATTACGTTCATGATTTTTTCCAAAGTATATCACACTTTTCTAACAAAAGATGAACATGCTGTTGAAACAGAAAGAAAGCAAATATATAAATCAATAAGCCGATTGAATATATGGGAAACCTTTACAAAGTTTGGTTAACTATTTCCTGCCTGAGAAGAAATGTGCTAGTCACATCTCCCTATCTGATACAACATAATAAGTTATTGAATTACGAATTTATTTATTTATTTAAATCTTAATAGTACGATGAATAATCAAATTTTATTCCGGAAGTTGAACCAAAATAAAAAACAACAAATTAATTAACCGTCATAACTTAATTTCGTGCTCCCAAGTGGCACAGCGGTATGTCTGTAAACTTGCAACACTAGAAACCGGGTTACGATACCCGTAGAGGGCAGATAACCTTTTGGTAAATTAATAGCTTCTGTAATAATAGAAATGTTTAGAGATTTGGAAATCTGCCTATATGGTAATTGATAACAAGACGTAATCAAAGTCAAAGAGAAGTGAAGGGTGTGTAACCAATCTTAGCGTTCAAAGAACAAGATAATTATATCTGCACACTGCTGGGTATACCCTTAACTGATAAATTTATGCAAACACAGTTATTGAAGTTAATCAATGATAAAAATGTGTAACCTTCAAAATTAATTAAGGCCAATTATTCTACTACTTAATTAGCTGGGAAAATCTATGATTCCTTTTCTGAAGTTATTATTCACGTATAATATTATTCTCAGAAAACACTTCTTGTGAAAATT